TCCCAGGGCCTTGGCGCTGCACCCAGATGGCCAGCCCTGTCTCCTGTACCCGAGGGTGGGTTCCCTTCAGAGGTCCCCCCGCTCATCTTCGCTCCTGCTGGGAGCCCTGACCAGAGCCCTCCCCCTCCCGCCCCCAATTCCAAGGACCCTGGGCTCCATCCACGCGCCCACAGCCCCTGTGGTCCCCGCGCACAGTGAGGCGTCCAGCGCCCGGGCACTCCGCAGACAGGCCGCGGTGGGCGGGGGTGGGGTGGGGTGGGGCGCAGGGGTGGGGGCGGCGCTGCAGGGCGGGAGGGGGGCGCGGGGGCCGCGGGGGCGCGGGGGAGCTGGCGGGCCCCGGGGGCCTGGGACACGGGGCGGGGCTGCTCCTCTCTCGCTCTGGATCCCACGTGCTCCGGCCTCGCTCAGCGCCGCCCGGGAGCCCCGAGGCCGGCCACACCCAGGGCGCTCCTGAAGCCGCAGCCGCTGCTGTGCTAGGCCGGGAAGACCCGCCCGGGGCGCGTGGGTGGGGCGGGAGCGCAGCCGCAGCCAGGAGGCGACACACGCCCGGGCCAGCCGGGGACGGAAAAAGTGAGTGCGCGGGGCGGCCTGCCGGGAAGGCGGGAGGCGAAGTGCTGACTGCGCCGCGTTCTCTCAGCCGCCGCCACCGCGGACGCCCGCCCGGCCCGGCCCGGGACAGCGACCGCTTCCTCCCTCCCCTCCCGCCTTGTCTCTTTTTGTGAGTATCGATCTGAGCTCGCGTTCCTTTAAACAGACTCAAAGTGTGTCAATCAATTAGGCTTTTTTTTTTTTTTTTTTTTTTTTTTTTTTTTTTTTTGACAGGGTCTTGCTTTGTGGCCCAGGCTGGTGTCAGTGGCACCATCGTGGCTCACTGCGGCCTCGACCTCCCGGACTCCAGGGATCCTCCCGCCTCAGCCTCCCGAGGAGCTGGGACCACTGCATCTGGCTAATTTTAAATTGTTTCTGTAGAGACAGGATCTCACTTTGTTGCCCAGGCTGGTCTCAAACTCCTGAGTTCAAGCGACCCTCCTGCCTCGGCCTCCCAAAGTGCCACCGTGCCAAGCCTCAATTAGGTTTTTAATTTTAATTTGGCATTGTGTGATGCTCAGACTGCTGCCGTGTCATTTTCACACGACCCTGCCTTTGGGGACAGCGAGTCGTCCTGTCCTGCGCATGCATCCCCTCATGATCTCGAGTGACCTGACCCTCTGTGGGGAGCTCTGAGCCTCCTCCCGGCTCCTGCTGCCCCGGCTGTCCGCTGATGGAGACTCCAGAGCGGGCTCAAGCCCCCAGCCAGCTTTGGACGGCTTTGCCTTTGCCAAGCCAGTGCCGTGAGCCCGCGTGCTCTCTCTCTGCACATGTTTGCCGGTGACCCCTGGGAAGTGTTTCTACGAGGACAGGGGGGTTGACGGGGCAAAGGGCAAGTGCCCACCGCCTACCAGGCAGCGCCAGTGCGTCTCCAGCTCAGCTTCCCCGCCAGCCCCTCGGCCTGCTCCCTGCAGCCTCTCCAACAGCTGCACCCTTGTCAGAGCTCTGCCAGCCTGGTGGGTAGTTTCAACGTGTATTTTTGTTATTATGAGAGAAACTGAACATCCTTTCATTGTTTAAGGGATATGTGTATGCACACATGCACTGCCATATATACATATATTGTAGATACACACGCACGTATGCATACATACGTCCGCACACCTGTACACACACATCCACACACATACCCCTGTGTGAGTATGTACACATACACATGTGTTTGCACACATATATCTATACGTGTGTAGACACGTGCACATGCAAGCACGCACACACATTTTCTCTGAGCTGTTGGGCTGCGTCTCCTGCACTTTCTCGCGTACTTTTGACCTTGCTTTTTCCAGACTTAGATCTTCCCACGACGGGCATATTCGCTCTTTTGTGGTGGTGCAAATATTTTCCCTCAGTTTGTTTATGATTTTTTTGCCAAGCTAAAGTTTTTTGTTTTCCAATATATGGAGTTCAGTGTATCAATATTTTCTTTAATTGCTCCCTAATGTCCTTTATTTGTTGGGAATGCCTTCCCTCCCACACTGCAAGAATGCACCCACGGTTTCTTGTTTCTTGTAGGGTGTTTTTTTTTTTTTTTTTAGAGATGGAGTCCCGCTCTGTTGCCCAGGCTGGAGTGCAGTGGCGCCATCTCGGCTCACTGCAAGCTCTGCCTCCCGGGTAGACGCCATTATCCTGCCTTAGCCTCCCAAGTAGCTGGGACTACAGGCACCCGCCACCACACCCAGCTAATTTTTTGTATTTTTAGTAGAGATGGGGTTTCACCGTGTTAACCAGGATGGTCTCGATCTCCTGACCTCATGATCCATCCGCCTCGAGCTCCCAAAGTGCTGGGATTACAGGTGTGAGCCACCGCGCCTGGCCAGGGTTCTTTTTTTATGCTTCTGTCTCTGCTGCATTTGGGATTTGTGCCTATGAGTCTAACTTAGTGCTTTTCCAAATGACTATCCCTATCCCTGGGCCGTTGGTTAAAAAGTCTTTTCCCCCCTACTGATTTGGGTCTCAGGGACTGGGCCTGTTCCTCTGTCTTCTGGTGCTTATACTACCCTGTTTTCATTACAGTAAGTTTCCCCTGAGCTCATAAAGCTGGTCCTCTTTCACTTTCTTTTCATGTTTTTTTGGCTGTTACTTGCTTATTAATTTTTCCATATGAGCATAATAGTTCCAGAAGTGTGGTTTTATTGGGATCGTATTAAATTTACGAATTGCATCGGAAGAATGTGCATGTTTGCAGCTGTGGCGCCTCTTCGGGGCCCGGGGGTCAGGGTGCCTTTAACTTCAGCCTCTGTGGCAGCTTTCCCACGTTTCTGGCTAGGTTTATGCTGGGAGCATCTTCTCTCTTGCTGTCCTAGATGAAATATCGTCTGCCACTCCATCTCCTAGCACGCTGTGCTGTGAGTAGGTGTCTGAGAGCCGTGAGTTCTGGACGCTGATCTCACATGCACCACTCTACAGCTTTCTCATTGCCTGTGGTCATTGTCCATGGGGCCTATTGGATTCTGCTGTTGGAAACCCACATCATCTGCACAGCCCCTGGGCAGCATTCGCAGAGCCCCTGGGCAGCATTCCCTCCCAGGCCTGACCTGCCGGATCTCATCGGGAGTTCCCACGGGTGGGAGGTCTCTGTGCCGGTCCCTGACACAGGCATGGGGATTCTACCGCTCGTCCCCTCCAGGACCGGGCTCCAGGGTGGCAAGCACAGAATGAGCCCCAGGGCGGGGCAGTGGGTGGGTGGCTGCGGGGACTGGGGGCCTGGCAGGGCTCCCTTCCTGGCACTGTCCCTGCTGCCAGCTGCCAAGGACCGCTGCAGGGCGATGGGGCTCGAGCAGGCGCAGCTTTGCCCCCCCGCCACCCCCACCTGTGTACTTGGGGAGGGACCCGCAGATGCTGTGTCTCTCATAGCCTAGGGCAGCCTCCAACCCTGCTGTGGGGGCCCTGGCACCAGGCACCACCCCTGCCTGGAGGGACTGGCAGGCATGGGGACACGGGGGCGCTGGAGCGGGCACAGCCACTCAGGGACGCCCATGCCTGGCCAGGAGGCCTGGGGGCAGGGGGTCATGGGACCCCCCAAAAGACCTGGGCTTGGGGAAGATGGTGCCCCCCGCCCTGTGATGTAGGAGGGATTTCTCACCCGAGGACTGTATGTGTGCGTGGGGCAAACAGGGCGAGGAGGGCCTGTGTGTTTCTGGGACAGCGAGGGAAAGGCCTGACTCAGGCCAGGATCCAGGGTAGCCGCCAGCACTCTCTACGCGAAGCCTCAGCCTGGCTGCAGCCTGGCCCCTCCCTGGAGGCCTCCCTCCCTCCTGCCCATGGCCCCCACAGCCGCCTGACAGGACAGAACTCCTTAGCATGCTCTCATATTTAATTATAATTATAATATAACAGAACCACAGGGAAGGGGGGGTCCCTTGTCCCAGCCACTCAGGTGCCCGCTGGCCGCCTGGAAGCTGGTGGCCCTGCCCCAGGAGTGGGGGTGCAGTGTGTGGATGTGAGGAATGGCCAGGCCGCGGTGGGGGTACTAGGCCGAGGAGGGGACGCCTGTACCTTCCCACCCAGGCCCTGGTGGGAGCCTGGCCAAACTCCTTTAAATAATTTCGTGAATGGGTGCCAAGGACAGCCCCCACGTTGGGCAAATGGGGGGGCCCTGGGTGCCTGCACCTCTGCCCTCATAACACCCAGGTGGCCACAGCTGGGAGGGGCCTAAGTCAGCCCCAGCCCTGCCCTCCTGACCTTGGGACCCTAGGATATCCCTCTCCTGAGTGGTGTGAGGGGCTGGGGTGGCATGGGGTGGCGGGAGGCCAGAGTGCTGACTGGGCCTGAAGGGCCTCCAGCTCTGCCTGCCCTCTTACTGCCTCAGTTTCCCTGCCCCATAAAGGGCCTGAGATGCTGCCTGGGCATGTGTGAAGGTCTAGGGGTTTCCTGCCCCGCCCAGCACAGCCAGGAGCTCTTCTGGCCTTCCCTGAAAACTTCTCTAGGCCTGTGGGGAGCAAATGACTCCCAGGGAGCCCCCAGCCCAATGCACCTCCTACCCCTGTGCCCAGTCTTGGACCCTGCATCCAGGGCGTCTCGGGATGCCGCTGCCGGGGGCACCTTGGCTGCTCCAAGGCAGTTTCCAGCCAACCCCAAGTTCAGGCAGGAGGCTCCGGGGGCGGCAGGCAGGGCCACAGCACCTTCAGCCCCGGGCCGCAGGCAGCAGCAGCAGCAGCAGCAGAGTTTCAGGGAGCTGGGCACAGGCAGCTCTGTGCAGGCAGGACTTGAAGCAGTGACTGCATCTGGCCCTCCCTGTAGGGGGTGGTGGCACCTGCTGCCTGGGCTCACTGTGGGCACTGAGACATGAGTTCTGTGGTGGGGCTGTACCTGGCAGGGCTGTGCCTGGCGGGGCTGGTGCAGGTGCAGACTGGTGCGCCCATCGCCCCCAGGCAGCTCAGCCCATGGGCGGCCTGCAATGGCCTGCACCCTGCCTGCTTCTCCTGAGGGAAGGAGCTGACCTGGGCTCATGGTGGAGGGTCTGCAGAACACCAGTGGCCAAGGAAGCCGGTCAGAGGGGCCAAGAGCAGTGTCCATCCTCAGGCCTCAGTGGCCGGGGACTCCGAGGGCCGTCGGCTGAGCCCCTGCGGGCCGGGGACGAGGTGCCCAGCCCACTAGGAAAGACGATGGTGGCGTACTCCGTCTGCTCAGGGACACAGGGTGCCGGGGGCTCCGGGGTCTTCTCTCGCCACTGGAAATCCAGCTCCCCATAGTCCACAGAGAACACAGGCACGGCCGAGGGGTCCTCCTTCTTTCAGGAGAAAGAGAGGAGGAGTCAGCCCCCATGGCCCACCCTAGGAGGGAGGCCGGCGGCTCCACAGCCTGGCTGCAGCGCTCACACTGAGCCTGGGCCCCCCACTGAGAGCCGCGTACCCTGGGCTGTCCCGTCACTGCCCTCTGTGTGATCTGGGGGTGCCACCCCTCCTCTCTGGCTCAGTGTTCCCCTGTGAAATGTCCCTGGCATTCTTGCAGGTTTAGGATTCCAAAATGTCACTTTTCAAGGCGTCCTGCCTCCAACGTAAGATAAAAAATGACCATGCCCACCCCACACCCCCGCAGGCAGGCGCACACGGTGGGCTGGGGCCCCAGGTCGTGGCTTTAGGGATTGCGATTGCTGCCTGGGGGCCAGAGAGGTGGGGTCCTGGCTGTAACAGAGTGTGAGCCCTGCAGGCTGTGTGGCCCCAGCCTGTCCTTTCACCTCTGCCCACCCAGGAAGGAAAGCACCGTGGATCACGCAGGAAAAGAGTGAGACTCACCAGGGGCTGGCCGGTGCGCCTGGCTTCTATGGTCCCTGAAGAGAAACACACTTGGGGTCACCAGACCGACCCTGAGCCGTGCTCCCCAGGTGGGGGGTCTTAGCCTAGGGGCTTTCATCGGGACTTAGTCTGACGAGGAGGTGTGGGGGAGGTGGATGGGGTGCAGGAAGGGTAGAGGGAGGGGAGGCGGGAGTGAGGCCGCCAGCAGGGTTAGGGCAGGGCAGGACGAGGTGCTGGGAAGACGTTACCTTGTGCAGCCCGGGAGCAGATGACAGCCAGGACCCAGACTAGCAGCACCAGGCTGCCCAGCAGGCCGCCCACGACACCGACCACCAGGGCTTGGAACTGGCCAGCTGGCCTGGGTGAGGGGCTGGGGTGGGCTGTGGGCACTTCTGCCCTTCTCTCTGGAAGGACACAAAGGTCAGGGGTTAGGACGGGGTCAGGTTGGAGGGTCAGGGCAGGGGTGAGGGCAGACTAGAGGCACTGGGGTGCTTCCAGAGCGAGAGGACAGGGATGCCGGTAGCGTTCCCCGGGTGCGGAACAGAGCCCTGGACTGGAACCGGGAGGTCCCTGCCCTACGACCCTGGAGCTCGTGATCCTGTGCAGGAGAGGACACCCACCCCAGGACCGGCTCAGCTCGCCCCTGCCCCCGGGCCTCTGAGGCCGCACCTGTCACCCTGAGCTCTGCCCGCAGGCTCTCTTTGATCTGCGCCTTGGGGGCCAGGGAGATGGCCCCGCAGAGGTAGGTGCCGCTGTCGTTGCGCCGGGCCCTGACCACGCTCATGTGGAAGTCGCGCCCGTTGGGCAGTTGTGTGACGCGGAAGCGGCAGTCCCGGCCGGGCTGGCTGCGGTCCTCGGGGAAGGCAGCCAGCTTGTCCGTCTGGTTGCTGGGGCTCATGCGGTACCAGTTCAGCACGAAGCTCTCCGAGGCGTTGGAGAAGCTGCAGGTGAAGGTGGCGTTGTCTCCTTCGGTCACCAGGAGCAGGGCTGGGGAGAAGGTGGGGGGGTTCCAGGGCCTGTCCGGGGATTCTGAGAGATGGAGAGAGGTGAGGAAGGGGCTGGGCGGCCCCGCAAAGCCTCCCCGGCCACCTGCCCACATCCCTCGGGCAGCAAGGGCTCAGGAAGGGCCAGCCCCGCTGGAATGTTGTTGAGAAGTCTCTGCTGGGGCCGCCCGGGGACGGGCACTCACCCCCACTGTAGAGCCTCTTCCTTCTACGCGAGGCTGCGGCCTCTGCCCAGAGCTTGGCTCTGACTTGGGTCCCCCCGGTTTCCTTCTAAGAGTCTTCACCCCCTTCCCTGTTGAGGCCAGTCCCCCAGAAAGGGCTGTTTGGGGGCTACCCATCCCCAGCCCCTGACCCTTGGGCATCCTGGCCTGGTCCTGTCTGCACTGCTCGGGCACAGGGGAGTGTAACTGGGCGGGTGGGTGGAGGGCTGCCCACGGAGACCCCCGCCTTGGGAGGAGTGCAGCCCCTCGGCAGGCTGAGGGTCCAGTCTGTACCCCCTTTTCAGCACAAGCTCAGAGCTGGGACCATGTGGTATGGGCATTGCTGCCCTGGGCAGTGGGCAGTGGGGCCTCCACATTTTCCAGCAAGACAGTGGGGACTGGAGCTCACAGCAAACATGCTTCAGAGACGAGGTGGGCCATTGCCTCGGATGTGGACAGACACGGGCCCCTGACCCTGGGCTTCCCAAGACAAGGACCTCCTGAAACATATGCTTGCCAGGGCCAGGGCCTGGGATGCCCACATGACAACCTGGGGGTCGCGGCTCTTCTGCCAGGCGCAGGCACTGACACAGGGGCTTAAGATCCAGGCCCGAGATGCCATGCAGCGGGGTGATTTTCCCGGCCCACCCACATGTCCCATGCCACAGGGTTCCCCAAATATGGCACTAGCCCTGCACTGTCAGACGTGGGGCACTGTCACTCAGCTCCATCTCGGGCCCGGGCATGGCCCCCCAGGAAGTGATACAGAGACCAGGCCCTGGTTGCCGCAGCTGCGGTCCCTCTGCTTCCTGGGACAGGCGGCCTCTGTGGCAGGGGGTGGTGATGACTCAAGGAGCAGTCAGCTCAGAGGAGGAAGGGGCTGCTGCCCTAGCGGCCCAGGGCGTGCTGGCTGGACACCAGAAGTGAGTGGGGCTGTCATGTGACCAGGACCAACTCCTAGTGCCAACCTCACTGGGCACCTCCCAGGGGACAAGTGAGGGGTCTGAAGTGACCTTGAGGCCACCCGGAGCGTCCCTCTTCCCTTTGTGCCCCATGGCCTCCTGGCTGCCCAGCGCTCACCTCCTTCACCTGCATGCCTGTCTCCCAGCTTCCTGGTGGCGTGCCCAGAGGTGGCGGGGGGGGGCCAGCTACACAAGGGGCTGCTGAGGTGAACGCCCTCTCTGAGACCGCCCTTGTCTGCTGGCTGGCCAGGGGAAGCTCCCTGCAGATGCGTGTGCAGGGTGGCCCCGGGGAATCTCCCAGCCACTCCAGAGTGGATTTTGACCAAGGAGGGCAGTGGGGTAGTGTGACTCTCAGGGCCAGTGGGCAGCCAGGTCAGGGCACTCAGAGATCTGCCTGAATGGAGGAAGATGGGCTCCTGGCATCAGGGCCAAGAGGGCTCCTGGGAGGTGGCCTGGGACAGGGCGGGCTGCAGTCCTTACTGGGACTAGGCTGTGGCTGGGTAGACTCAGCACAGAGCAGGGGAAATGCCCTGCCCTCTGGGTTTCTGGGAATGCAGTGGAGACCCAGTGGCACCACCACCGCAGGCAGCCCCTTGGGGCCTCCATCCAGGCAGGTGAGGAACAGGGGGCCATCACGGGAACTGTAAGCAGGGACCCTGCATGGTTAGGAAGTGCTGGGGGACCCCCAGCTGTAGGGCGAGGTGCTGGTGACAGGACCAAGTCGCTGTGTGTCCACACTGCAATGTCCATGGAACCATCTGTGCATTGTTCGTGTAACTAAAAACTTAACTGCTATTTATTTGCACACGTTGGTGGAGGGACCCGCTCTTGACTTGATCTGTGCTGGTCGATGACAGGCTCAACCCTTTTCCTGTCTGGCTCGCACCGGCCCTCGGCCAATGGGCCTCAAGCCAGGACCCTGGGCTCTGTGCCCCGTCCCCCCTCATTTTGGAATCCACCCCGGGGAGCAGGCCCAGCTGGGCTCCTCGGCCTCCACTGCCTCTACTGACTGGCTGGGTGGGGTGGGGGCTAGAGCTTGGTGTCTGCGGTTCAAGCAGCCTCTCCCCCACCTCCCCCAGCCGGAGAGAAGCCCCGAGTGGCGACCCCCAGGCAGGGCCTGCCTCGCCTCAGTCCTCAGGCCGCCTACTCCAGGAAGCCTTCCTGGCCTGCCTTGGCTGGGAGAGTCTACTAAGAAGGAGAATATTCAGAAATGACCACGGGCTGGTCCTGGGTCAAGTTAGATTCGGGGTGTTTCTGTGGGATTCCATTGTTTCCCCAGCTGCTCCCTCTGAGATCCATGTAGGATCGTGGGTTGATGAGAGAGGGCTGTGCCCTATGCAGGGTCAGGAGGGAGAGAGAGCCTGTCCCAGGGATGTGGAACAGGCCTGTGAGGCGGTGGGGGCGCAGGCGGGGGGTGCTCCCACAGAGAGACCCCACTGCAGGACGCGCTTTCCAGAAGTGCACAGAGAACGGTGTGCCTGCCCCAGGGGGAGGAACCTGCTGGTCCAGACCAGACCATCTCTGACTGTGGTCCCATTAGGGACAAGGAAACTGGCCCACGGGATGTGCAGGGACGCGGACAGCGAGCTTGTCCCTAGAGGACCTGGCGGGGGCGAGGAGTGGGGTCTTCCAACTCCTCACAGTCGTGTGTGTGTGGAGGTGGGAAGGGCTGTGGGCCGACCCGTGTCCCCGCAAATTCCTATGCGGAAGTCCTAACCCCATGACCTCAGAAGGCGGCCTTATTAGGAATAGGGTGACGGCAGCTGGGACTAGGTAGGATGAGGGCACAGGGCCAGGTGGGGGCTGACCCAGCACCCAGCACGCCTGGTTTTCTGCAGTGAGCCGAGATCACACCACTGCACTCCAGCCTGGGCGACAGAGCAAGACCCTGTCTCTAAAAGAAACAAAAATGTGTCAGGGACTGGGCTGGGCAGTTTCCACACTCACCCGTGCGGAGATGAAGGCAGAGCCCAGGGGATGCTTCTGAAGCCCAGGAACACAGAGGGTGGCCACAAAGCCCCCCAGCCAGGAGAGGCTGAGCACAGCCCTCTCGGAGCACGGGGAGCCGACCCTGTGGCCCTCGGTCCTGCACGTCCAGCTCCCGACAGCGGGAGGGCAAGCTCTGTTTTTAAGCCACAGCCGGGAGAGGCTGAGCAGAGCCTCCTCAGAGCGCCGGGGAGCTGACCCCACGGAGCTCCATCCTGCGAGTCCAGCCCTCGGATGGTGAGAGGGCAGGCTCTGTGTCAAAGCCACTTGGTCGGTGGAGCTTTGTTATGGCAGCTCCAGCCGCCCAGTCCCCAACGCAAATGTGTCAATATTCTCAGTTACTGATTCCAGGTGAGGGATATTCATTGTCGTGTTTTTAAACTTTTTTTTGTATATTTTTCAAAATAGTCGTTTTAAAATCTAACTTTAAAAATTTGACTTTAGGCCGGGCACGGTGGCTCAAGCCTGTAATCCCTGCACTTTGGGAGGCCGAGATGGGCAGATCATGAGGTCAGGAGATCGAGACCATCCTGGCTAACACGGTGAAACCCCGTCTCTACTAAAAAATACAAAAAACTAGCCGGGCGCGGTGGCGGGCGCCTGTAGTCTCGGCTACTCGGGAGGCTGAGGCAGGCGAATCGCTTGAACCCGGGAGGCGGAGCTTGCAGTGAGCTGAGATCTGGCCACTGCACTCCGGCCTGGGCGACAGAGCGAGACTCCGTCTCAAAAAAAAAAAAAAAAAATTGACTTTAAAAATCGGACTTTAAAAACATGTGTCATGGAGGCCAGATGCAGTGGCTCATGCCTATAATCCCAGCACTTTGGGAGGCTGAGGAGGGAGGATCGTTTGAGCCCAGCCTGGGGAACATAGCGAGGCCCCGTCTCTACAAAAAATGGAAGAAATGATCCCGGCAGGGTGGCGCGTGCCTATGGTCCCAGCTACTCCAGCGGCCCCGGAGGTTGAGGCTGCAGTGAGCCGAGATCACATCACTGCACCCCAGCCTGGGTGACAGAGCAAGACCCTGTCTCTAAAAGAAACAAAAAAGTGTCAGGGACTGGGCTGGGCAGTTTCCACAGATGACCCGATTTAATCCTCAGGACGCAGCATCACCAGGAGGCGTCCTCACCCATGACCCCAAAGCACACGGAGAAGTCAGTAAGGAGCCAAGTCCTGCCAAAGGCCCAGAGCTCAGCAGCGGTAGCGCTGACTGGAGCTCACGGGGGTCCCACGCCAAAGCGGAGGCTCTTATTTACGCTCCTGACCCCGGACAGGGGCCAACAAGCGGCTGGGTTTGGGATATCTCATAAAACACAAGGGGAACACACACTGAGGTGGGAGTGGTGACCGCGGGAATGACAGAACGGCAAACGCCGTGAACAGATCAGGAGGGAAACGAGGCATGCTGGAATGAAGACCACTGCGGCCGGGGTGGCCACATCTGGGTCAGGACAAACAGGACCCCAGTCATGCTGACTGCGCCTTGCTGAGTGCCCTGTGCTGAGTGTTACCGGTGGGGAAACCAAGGCACGCCGCCTGTGAGAGTCTTGTCTGGCACAAGCGCAGGCACCTGAGGCACGAGTGTCCGGCTGCAGACACCTCGCTCTTATCTTTCCCGCCTGGTCGGGGAGGGTGGGGTCTCGAGGACGTGCCTGAGGAGCCAGGGCACAGGGGAGAGGCTCAGCTCCCCTCCTGCCTCAGCTCCTCCTCCCCTGTGACGAGCGCCCCTCTGCACTCTGGTTCCCCCACGAATGTCTCCCTGGGGTGCCTTCTGGCCGCAGGCCCTTTGCCCAGCGTCTCCAGTTCTGAGTCCTGAGTGACCCGTGGGCCTCCCTTAAGAGGTGGTGCGAAGGCAGAAAGGCAGGGCCCCTGGCAAGGATGCCGCCTCAGGCGCTGGGGAGCAGGCCCCAGGAGAGGGGGCTGAGGTGGGGAGTACCTAGTCGCCTGCCACAGTGAAGGGGCACCAGGACCCCCGGGATGGGAGCCTCGAGGGGACGTCAGGGCAGCCCCAGGGTGCCCCTCATCTTGTCCTCCCAGTGGCGTCACACCCCGGTACCCAGAAGGACCGTAAACCACCCTCCCCAGGCCTCGGCATCCCCAGGGGCAGGCTGGCTGGGCACTGAGGGTCCAGGGGTGGGCTGTGGTCACAGTGGACACAGAGGGTCACGGGCAGCCCAGGAAGAGGCTCCCCCTCTCCTCGATGCAGGAGCGTGAGGCCAAGGCCTCCCCCAGGGATGGTCTGAACAGGGCTCGGGGAGAGCCCTGGAATCTGGGCAGAGACCCAGGCGGGCACAATGCCCACCCAGGAGGGATCCTGGAGACAGAAGAGCTGTCCTCACTTGAACAGGCACACTTTTGATATAATGAGAAAAATATCACCAGTTCATCTAAACTTTGACGTCGTAAAGCCAAGGTTAGTCCCACATGGGACTCGTCCCACCCTTAGGAAAACCGAGGATGCCCGGGCAAGGCAGAGCCGCCACATAGACTCGCCATGAACAAGGTGTGGGGTTCTGGCCAGCCTGACCCGTCATTCTACAGAATCACGCAGCCCCAAGGACCGGCTGGGAGGGGACAGAGGTCCTGCCTGCCCAGGAGCAAAGAGGGCACTTGGGCCAGGGGAGGAGTTGGGGCCCAGAGAGGAACCCAGGAGTCTGAGCTGCCCAAAGCCGCACAGCTCAGGGTATGGGGCAGAGCTGGGCTGCCAGGGGCCGGGCCCGCCACAGCACCCCCCGACCTGCCAGGGACTGAGGGGGGACGGTCCCTCCAGACTCCTGGCTCCGGGACACCTGACCGCGACCCCACCTACCTAAGAACCATCCTGGCCGCCAGCCCAGTTGTAGCACCGCCCAGACGACCGGCCAGGGTGCCTGTGGGATCTGCATGCCTGGAGCAGCTCCAGCAGTGCCGCCGGCCGCCTCCTCCGCTGCTCAAGCTGAGGCAGATGTGAGCGGAAGGGAAACTGTCCCAGGTCAGGTCGAAGGGAGGGTGCCCGCCCCTTGCTCCCGCCCCCTCTTCCTCCACCTCCACGTGGGCGGGAGTGACAGAGGTAGTGCTGGGGGTGGGGATGAGGAGGGGGTTGTACTGGGGGAGGGTAGGGGAGGGAGACAGAGACAGAGACGGGGGTACAGAGGAGATGGGGAGGAGTGGGCCCGTGGCCCCCACGTCCTACTCCGTGGGGGTCTCCCCAGCTCAGGGCCCCTTCTTCTCTGTGTCTCTGCTCACTGCTGTGGCCTCTTCATATCCCGCATCCAGCTGGAGCTGCCCCTCCTGAGGCTGTGGGGTGGGGGCAGGCCCTCCCCCTCCCCCTTCCCCCCCCATTTCCCTGGGGGCCGGCCTCCCTGCCTGGGGAAGGTGGGTGGCCCCCTCTGGGCTCAGGTTCCTGGGCTGCAGTGAGGGGTGGGTTCAACCCCACTCCCATTCTGTCGGAGCCTCTGGGAGCCTCCGGGCTGCCCACAGCCTCTGCCCCTGCTGGGGGCAGGTGTCTGGCCCCTGGCCCCTGCCTTCCCGGCCCAGCCCCCTTCGCTGGGACACAGGTGGCCCTACTGAATGACAACTGTCCATGGCTAATCGGCTCCCCCTCAAAGCTTCCACCTTCTGAACAGCCCCACACCATGGCCACGGTTCCAGATCTTTCCACCGTGTGATGCTTCCAACAGTCTGACGGGGGGCTGGGGCGGTGGCAGGGGCTGGCTGTGAGGCTGACCTCACCTTCCAGCCTTGACCTTCTACCCCGGGGCCCTGCCCTCCAGCCCACTTGTGCCAGGGCCGGGTGGTTCAGCGGGTCCAGTGCCTGGGCCTGGCTGATGGCATTTGTGAAGCGGCTTGCTCATCTCCTTGTATTCTGCGCTGAGCATTTTATTACAGCGAATGGAAAACAGGAGAAATGAAACTGCTGATATTAGTGATGAGATGCGTCAGGCTCATCAGCTTAAAATAACCGAAGCGAGGCTAGAAACCGCCTGACAGCTGCGCAGCTGCCTGGCTCCGAGAGACACTCGGCCCGACTGTGAAGGGAAAACATTAAAGCACTGAAACGGTGGAAAAAGAGCATCAAAGATGATGTCTGCGAGGCGCGGCCACGGCGAGGAAGCTCTCGTTTATGAACAAAGGGCCACTCCCGGGTCTCGGAGATGTGAGGCTGCGTGGGTGGCCTGGCGGGGGGGTGGGGGGCCCAGCTGGCTGGGGGGGGGGCTTGGCGGGGGGCCCCCAGGGGAGCCTGGCAGCGCCCACTGTGCTACCAGACAGCTAAGGTGGCCGGCAGCAACTGTATCCTGGCACACCCCCCCTCGTGCCCCAGGGGCTGGGGCTCTGGGGGTGGAGACGTGTTGGTCGGCAGGTGCCTCCGTAGCCCTGCGCCTCGCCAGGCCATGGCTGAGTGGCTAAGCTGCCCGTGCTGGCTGTCCTTGTCCCGAAGGCAGATTCTGGACAGAACCGCCCTCTGCCCCAGCCCTGTGGAGCCGTGTTCCAGCCTGTGTTGAAAGCTGTCTCCGCTCCGGTGCAGCCTCCTCAAGGCTCTGAGCTTCATGGGACGGGGAATGCTGCGGAGTGGGCTGGAGGGGGGACTGGGCCCAGGTGGTGGGCTCTGAGGTGGGAGATGCTATCAGAGCCCTAGAAGTTCTCCTCACCACCAAGGCCCTGCCCCCGAAATTCCACCTGCCAGGGCTTGGACATGTGTCCTGGAGTAGGAGGCAGGCACAGGGAGAAACCCAGCTTCCATCCCGCCCCTTCCTTCCTTCTCCTTCTCGCACCCGTCCCCTCTCTCCCTGCAGTCCCTCTCTGTCACCCACTCTCCTTCCCTCTTCCCCTCAGTCCTACTGAAGGCCCCGGGCCATGGGAGAGGAGACCTGGTGGGGTGGGCCCAGCGTGGAGCCAGGGGACTGTGGCCACTGAGGCCAGGGCTGCCTGATGGTCTCTCTACACCGCCACTCACCGGAGCACCTGCAAAGGGACACGTGGACCCAGGGAGGGTCTGCAGGGCTGGGAGGGGTCTGGGGTCTGAGCCTGGAGAGCACAGGGCCTGCAGGGATGGGCACTGGGCCCGGACTAGTAGGCTGGACGTACAGGGTCCTGGGACCCCATCCAGAAGTAGATAGGCGATCCCAGAGCTTAGGTGTGGGGTGGGGACTCATGGAGCCTGCACCCCAATATCACACTCCAGACCACTTATCAACACCCTCCCCCAAACACATACACTGTCCCCAACACACGATTTCCAACACACCACACCCCAACACACACAGTCCCCAACACTCACACAATCCCCAACACACACAAAAAATCCCAAACACACACAATCCTCAACACATATACAGTTCCCAATACACACACAATCTCCAACACACACAATCCCCCCGCACACAGTCTTCAATGCACACACAAAATTCCCAACACACACAATCTCCAACACACATAATCCCCCCCGCACACAATCCTCAACACATGCACAAAATTCCCAACACACACAATCCCCAACACATATACAGTTCCCAATACACACACAATCTCCAACACACACACACACAACTTCCAACATGTGTAGAATCCCCAGCACACACAATCCTCAACACACACACAAAATTCCCAACACATACAATTCCAAGAACACACACAATCCTCAACACACACAGAATCCCCAACACACACAATCCTCAACACAATTCCCAATACACACACAATCTCTAACACACGCAATTCCCTCACAATTCTCAACACACACACAAAATTCCCAACATGCACAATCCCCAACACACACACAATCCTCAACACACACACAAAATTCCCAACACACAATCCTCTGTACACATTGTCCCCAACACACATACAACTCCCAATATGCACAGAATCCCCAACACAAACACACAGTCCCCAGCACACACACAAACCCAAACACACACAATCCCCAGCACACACACAGAATCTCCCTCCCCACAATCCCCAACACATACACAGTCCCCAACACATACACACAACCCCAACATGCACATAATCCCCAACACACACACAAACCCAAACACGTACAATCCCCACAATTCTCAACACACATAATTCCCAACACACATAATTTCCAGCACACATAATCCCTAACACACAACCCACATGCACATAATCCCCAACACACACACACCCAATTCCCAACACACACACAATCCCCAACAAATACACAATTCCCAACATACAATCTATAACACACACACACCACAATCCCCAACACACATACACAATCTGCAATATACACACAATCCCCAACACACATGATTTCCAACACACACAACCCCCAAGCATACATGCTCCCCAGCACACACACTTTCCTCCCACACACATCCTAAGCCCGTGCCTTCCACCCCGTAGGCTTCCACTGTCTTCTGTCACAAGGAGGAAAGGCAGGTGGAGTCCGGGGAGCAGCGTAGATGGGCTGAGGGGCCCTTGGCTGGCCGGCCCTGCCACCCTTCCCCCATCTCCTTTTCTCACCCTTCCTTCCCAGGGAACCTGGACACCCAGGCCGTTCCCCCGGCATGCTCCTTCCTCGCAGAGGGTCATGCCCCCTCCCAATCACTAGCCCTGGGACAGAAGCGGCCAGATTCAATCCAGGCTTTCAGTTAAAAGATAATTTACAACAAGCAAAGTTGTATGTGGTTTTTGTCTGTTTGTTTATTTTCTTTTAGAGACAGGGTTTTGCTTTGTCGCCCAGGCTGGAGTGCAGTGGTGTGATCTCGGCTCACTGCAGCCTCGACCTCCCGGGCTGAAGTGATCCTCTGACCTCAGCCACCTGAGTAGCTGGCATCCTGTGGCCAGCTCATATCTAACATTTTTTTTTTGTAGAAATTGGGGTGGGGCAGGGGAGGTCTCTCTATGTTACCCAGGCTGGTCTTGAACTCCGGGCCTCCAGCAATTCTCCCACCTTGGCCTCCCAAAGAGTTGGGATTACAGGCGTGAGCCACCACAGCTGGCTGATGGTTGTATGTTTTGGTTGAGTATTGTATCATTTACAATTGAGACAATTGTAGATTTACTTGCAGTTGTAAGAAATTACACAGATGCTTCCTCATACACTCTGCTCAGTCTCTCTGAATGATACAGTTTGGAAAACCACAGGACAATGTCACAACCAGGTTAATGACTTTGATGTGATGCCTCCATCCCATCCTGAGTCCCCGTTCCTGGCTGACGTGTGCCTATCAAGGGCTGCACAATGTCCGCACAGGCGAAGGCTCCTGCGTCCCCGGACAGCGAAGCCACAGAACGTCCCCATCACCACGGGGTCCTCGGGTGCCCTTGGCAGTACACCCCCCTCCCTGCTGCTGGCCGCGAGCCTGTCCTCCACCCCCATCACTGTTTCATTCCAGCGACAGCCGTGGGAAGGTGCAGTCGGCGTCCTTCCGGGATTCCCTGGAGATGCTTCCAGCGCGTGTGTTTCAGCAGCCGGTTCCTCTCTGTGCTGAGCCATCCGGGCTGTGGTGTGGACGTAGCACACCACAATTTAGTCAGCCATTCTCCAGTTTGAGTCTGGGTGGACTCCATTTCTTGGGGACTGTGAATAAAGGCCCCGGAAGCCCTCTGTGGACGAGGCGCCCAGGAGGCCAGGGGCTCTAGGACTGCCTTCCCAGACAGGGGCCTGGAGAAGGTTCCCCTCGCTGGGGGCCCTCCCCTCTCCTGGTCTGAGAAGAGAAACCTAGAGTTTCCAAGGGGCCTGCATGTCATGACGCATGGCGCCCTGCACACGGCGGTGATGAGATAGGCCCCGGGGGCTGGAACATGAGCCGGCACCGATGGAAAGTGGCAGGGGGAGGGGATTCCCCGCTCGCCCGGGGCAGCGGGAAGTTTCCATCCACGCAGGGACGGTCCGGGGAAGCACAGGAAGCAGCAGGACCATCCCGAAACTGCTTCTGCAGTGGGAGGCGGCGGGCGCCAGGCTGGCCGGGTGGAAACGACGCTGTAGCCGCCCGGGCCAAGGGCACCGCGGT